CATTTACCATTTACCATTTAATATCATATCATCAGTGGTGGACAAAATGTTCAGGTCCTTTACTAAAAGTAGTAATACCACACAGTGAGAATACTCCACTAACAGTAAAAGTCCTGCATTCAGTATGTAAAAGTACTAAAAGTAAAAGTACTAATTCGGGAGAAAAATGGTCCCTGTTAGTGTTTTCCTATTATTATACATGATGTTTGTGGATTAATATTACTGCTGTTTTATTATGTATGTTTATTCCTGTAGATGTTTAAGGTTATGCTCATTTTGACTCCTTTACACATTGTTGAGTAGTTTAAGCTACAGCAGTGCATCATATTCTATAAACCTCGATATGTATTGTCGCTGGCCTGTGAGAACCTTGTATCTCAAAAAAAGTAAATTTTTTTATGAGCTCAGATAAAGAAGCCCTGATCTCGGCTTTGTGACAATGCAGTTTCCAGCTAATCTAAATTGTATACTTAGCTTAAGAAGGGGGAGAATTATCTCAACTCATAAAGGAACACTTCCTCCTTCAGTTTATCAGAAAAAATCAAAATCACCAACTATGGAGATACATGGCTTTCACTAGACAGGAAGGGTATGAAAAAGTAACTAAAGCTGTCGGACACATGTAGTGAAGTAAAAAGTATAGAGTAGTTTATAATGGAAACACTCAAGTAGGGAATAAGTACTACTAATTTATACTTAAATATATATATATAGTACTACTAATTTATAATTATATATATATATATATATATATATATGTATAGTAACAAATAATCAGATGATTATTATCAAATTAATAATTACAAATTATTTGTGATGTGAAAGGGGTTACACAAGCTCACAGAGCATTATCACCCACCTCTGCTGCTCTGTAGCGCTATTTAGCCTACATTTAGTGTAGGGTTCAGACTCAGCGCTCTCGTACCCTGTTCGCAATGGTCACCACCTGCTCAACCTGAAACTGTAGACAAAGTTAGCTACTAGCTGATGAACAAAGTGGAACAGTGGAGGAGCCAGATATTTTTCTCAGAAGTAAGTGGAGACAAAACCAGAGATAAAAGGAGAATATTGTACTTTATTGTATTGTACATTCATCCGCTAGACAGACACACAACTTCAAATGAATGCTAATGTTGCTCCATGTCTGCTGGATGTGTAAGGCAATTGTTACCTGACACATTAGGCAGAATAACTTTACCCAGTAATGATATACCAGGCGTGTCTGTCAGCGTGTTTTTGACTTCCTATTCTCCCAAACAGCGATAAGATAAAGTAAAGCAGACTTAATGAAGACAGCGTTTAATAGTCTCTGCCAAAAAGACACATAAAATACAAAGCAGAAGGGGCGGAAAAAAAGCTTCAGTCATGTTACCTTAAAAAAGAAAGAAATGAAATTGGCCTGAAACTGTGAAGCACTGAATGAGCTTTTCTGTAAGAGAGGTTTCACAATAGCGTGTTCACTGGCAGGAAGTAGAACCGAGTGAGCCGGGAATGGCTCGTGATTGCCAGCACATCATCCACCAGACAATTGAACACTCTTAAAAAACGGTGGCTGGGATAGGGTCAGTTGAGCAGGTGGAGGGCTTAATTTGCATTACTTCTTCTCCTGAGCATTTCTCTATCACACATATCATTATTCATTTCAGTTACACTCAGGTTAATACTCAACCTGAGTTTGATGAGGGAAAAGTTTCAGAGAGGCTTTTTGGAGCTGATATATAATGCTGTTAACAGCTGAGTAGAGCACACGAGGATTATTCTGATTATCTGGGACTCATTTTGGGAAATAAGCTCTTTTGTAATTGCTTTGTTAAAAATAGTGAGATACTCTGAGAATGTCGAAAAAGACTTTCAGTTTGGTTTTTTAGGTTGAATATATCCTCAGTTCCATTGTGGATGTTTGGATTTAGTTTGAAGAAGTTTATGGCACATGTAGCGTTTATTATGAAAACTTAAATCATATAACTGATGAGGTGCAGGCAACATTCGTTTAGAGTTAGGTTTATGTGCAACTGATGAATAATCTCTCTCCTGAGTGAAATGTTTGGCTCTTTGGCTGCTGTGGTGCTGGGCAGGGAGGGTACACTGGGAGCTTGTTTCCTGAAACAAAGTACTGCTGGAAACACTGCGACAGAACAACACAGAAAATGTGCCGTAAAACCAAGTCATTGTGCTAAAAGAGCCTGAAAACCTCTGTAGAGCTGCTTAATTCTTTGTGGGTTTGTCACTACAAGCGACCCCTTTTCACTTAATTCATAATTATTCTAAAAATAGCGGTAAGTGGAGCTTAAATAAAGCAGTATGATGCAAGAGAGAAAAACAGAGTAGTGATGAGAAACATCCAGGTCTTTTACAGTTACATGGTAATTAGCCCAAATGTGTGACTGATTGGTTCTAGGAACACATATTGTCAGTGTGCATATGTAACCTGGTTGTAAGGAGTTGCAGCCTGGTAGAGTCCTCAGGTTTTCTCTCTGGTTTCCCTGTTAGTGTAGCAATGTATAAAATGAGTAGGCACTCCGCTTCCCACTCTAACTGAAATTACATGAAATTTCCTTAACCTCCATCTGCACACAGCGGTGAATAACTCATAGAAAAAAAATAATAAAAAAAAATCCCTCCTACACTGTTGATTCTCTGAGAGCCTGTTTGACTGGAAGAGCTGAATTACCTCTCGCTGTTATTCTGAAGTGGCGGGTTTGTTCTTTACATATTAAAGAACTCCCATGTGCTTTTTCCCAAGGTCTCTGAAGTCGCGAGTGAAGATCATGGTAGATGGAACTCTACTCGTCTCCAGGGTCATCCCAGAGGATTCTGGGAACTACACATGCATGCCGACCAATGGCCTGCTGACCCCGCCCACGGCCTCTGCCAACCTCACAGTGATGCGTAAGTTTCTGTGTGTAGTTTGTAGTTATGATCCTTTCTTTCCTTTTTTTCTGTTTCAATACATTATGGTTTAACTCTACCACTGAATACATTAAAAAAAAAGTTTATTTTAAATTTGCCTCATTAACACTGAATCATTTTATGTAAAGCACTGTATTATCTAATTACTTTATTAAAATATAAACCACAGAGAGGTTCCTGGATGGCCGATGGTCAAGCACAGAGAAGTCTGAGTAAAAAATTAGGACAAGGTGGACAAAGGATTTACTTGTGTGTTTCACTTCTGCCCACAATGTTGGGTGTGGTCATGGAGGTGCTCTGTTCCCTCTGTAACCACACCTACCAATGATGTCACAGTGTGCTGACACACCCTTGAGTGCACTTCTACATCACTGGAGCAAAGAGAAAAGTTAAACCACTGGAGGTCAGCAAAGACAAGACTTTCAGCTGTTAAGTTGCTCTTTAACTTGTTTTGATGTTATTGCCATCACAGCAAAAATACTGTAAGTAAATGCAGAGAGGACCATAAGGCAGAGAGCGTGCCATTAAGTGTACCATAAAGGAGTTGTCTATACCTCTTTCAGTGGGCATTTCCTCAAAGAGACAAGATGCTGGGTGAGAACCATCTAGAGCTTTCTGATAAAGCTGAACTTTTTTCTCTCTAACGCACTGGTTTCAGCTGTCAGGGTAACAAACTGTAAGAGAGAAAGTTAGCACACTTTCTACATCTGATGAGTGAAACTGAACAACAGCTTCCTTTGAAAATCCAATATTTTTCTTATTTTCTCATGAAACACTATTGATGAGCTGACTTTCAGTGTTCATTTTGTGTTTGTCAACTAATCATAATTGAAAATATAAGCCTGTTTATCTGTTAAATGTTTAACCACATCAGAAAACAGTAATAATGAAATGTAGTTATTGTTTATTGATAATCAGTCTATTAAAACGACACCGTAATTCATTTGGGAGTGACAGCAGCAGGTTCCAATTATGCGTTTTGAATCTCGCCTATTCCTTTCAAAGAAATGCACAGATTGGATTGTATTTGCTTGTAACTGGATTAAATCAGTAACTGTTAGAAATAAGCTTTCTTCTGAACATTTGTTTGTAGGCCTTTAAAACCCTGCCGACACATTCAGTCAGCTGTAAATACAAGGAGCAGCGCTTGTAGTAAAAACGTAGGCTCATAGAAAATTCATCACAACAAAACAATCTGCTCTCAGACTGGATCATGGCACAGTTTCTCTGCAGCATATGTGTTTTCCCACAGTACTGAAACAGTAAGGTGTATTTAAATTGTAGTATTTATTTCATATAAACAACTTCAATTTCTTTTCTCTGCTCAGACCCGGCCCAGGCTCTCCAAATGCCCCAGAAAACGTACCTTCCCACAGGTATGGACGGCATGGTCACCTGCCCAGCGGCGGCTCAGCCTCCACTGCTCCGTGTGGATTGGAAAAAAGATGGAGAGCCACTTGACCTGTCCTTGGTAATAAAATAATCATTTCCAGCTGGAAGTGTAATCACCCTAATACTGTCTGAACCGTGTGCCCAAACTCAAACTTTTGTCCCAGGCGTTCTCTGGTCAACACTACTCTATTCATTGACGTTGCAGGGACATGGCATCCATTGAATCCATTAATTTTCCTTTAGCAGAGAAATGTCAGACGGCTCTGCTGACTAAAGTGACAGCTGCCTGTTTTAACCGTCAGTCCGCTCTATTTGCCTATGAAACTGCAGAGCAGCAACAATTTTTCTTTTTTTAGACGCTCTATTTTTCATTTCATCAGTCATTTTAATGTGACAGTTCCTCTGTCCACTGATTGAAATTTCCTTTCAGGTTTTCAATTGAATAGTCATTCAACCAGGTACATCTTAATGGAAGGGGATGATGTGTTCAACCTTAAAAGCTTTTGAAGCAATCCCCAATGAACTCTTTACTGCCTCTCGCCCTCTCGCCCTCTTCTTTTTTTCTTCAGTTCCACCTCAGTCTCACTTCCTCTGAGGGATGGTTATAAGAACCTTTATAGATGAGTGGCAGGGGGTGTGACTTCCCACTAGTTTTACCAAAATCATTTTTTAACCTTTCAGATCCAGACCTTTTTTTCAAAATAACAACCCAAAGTGGCAGTTTTTAAAACCATTTTCTTTGTCTTGCGTGCCAAAGATCCACCCACTTCCTCCTCCTGCGCCTTTACATGCTGAGTTGACCCCACCCCCTTCAACACTTTGGTCTGAGCGATGGACATGCCGGTAGATGAGGTGCACCGCAGGAAATGTGATAGATTCCTGTAGTGCGGGTACACAGGCGTTGGAGTCAGGCTGTTATTCTGCCAATTATTCCAATTCCACTTGGGATGTCGCACAGTACAGTAATACTTTCTCACAGCCTAATTCTGGCGGGGATAATAGAGAAAATAAAAAGTGGGAACCTTCTGCACAGTCAAAGCGCAACACGGGCTTTCAGCTATGGCTTAATTGGGAAAAAAATGACTTCAAAATGTAACTGCTTTAAATGCCACTGCTTCAAGAAGCCATTCTAAAAGCTCAATTCTGTTGCCTGTGGTCGAATTCACCTAAGCAATGATCAAGGGGATATCCTTAAAGAAATTAGAAGAACAGAAAATCACTCTGTCTTTTACATGTTGTTTAGATATCATCTTGAAAAAGCAAAGAAAACATTAATAAATAATACACAATTTTAAAGAAGTTTGGAAATAATCTGCCCAGTGGGGACTTAAGTACTTAACCACTGCAGGACTGTGGCAGGCAGATATCAAAAAAGTATTTCTGTAAATCCATCAAACACTGCTGAGGAGCTCATACATGGCTTTGGAGTGGTTACAGATTTTCTTGCCTTTTAGCTCCTTAAGCTCTCTGCAAACTTCCATTCATGCTATGTATCATTTAAGACTGCATGTGATAGTTACTTTTCTTTTTAGCTGTCAGAGTGATGTGAGTGAGCATTGTGTATTTCTCCCAGTACCCAGGATGGACCTTGACCCCGGAGGGCTCTTTGTTCATGGCCACAGTGAATGACGATACTCCTGGTGTGTACATGTGTACCCCATACAACAGCTACGGCAGCATGGGTTCATCTGGGCCAACGGATGTAATTCTACAGGTTAGTGTGCGCTCTACTGTACATTAAGTCATTCTTGCACCATAAACCCAGGAAGCACAGAAACTACAGCTGAAGCTGTCATTCTAGTTCTGCTAAACTGTCTATCTACACCACTGTGTGTGTGTTTTAATTAGCCGCAACTGCATCTGCCACCGCGAATTAAAAACTTAACAGAAACGACATTTTATTGACCTTTTCACTCCGACGTGTGAGCCCTCTGGCATTAATAGAAGTCAACTCAGACTCGCTACAATGGCTTCACTATTGGGGAGTTAATTGTGTGGCTAATCCTTTTGTTATTAAGATAATCTTGTCCAAAGCGGCAGTAATCCAGTCTTAAAATCCATTGTTGGCATTGCCGCAATCTCCTTGATTTAGCTATATTGCTTTGGCAATTCACAGGACCCCCCATCATTCAGCGTCACTCCAGAGAAGCAGTACAAACAGGAAGCCGGTAGAACCCTGCTCATCCCTTGTCAAGGAAACAGAGACCCAACAATTAAAGTGACCTGGAGCAAGGTAAACAACCCAGTACAGGTCATTCAATAAGTAAGTAGTGCTGTTTTATTCATGGCACTGAGGTGTTTACAAGGATGTTCTTTTTTTCTTGTTTTATATTTCTTTTGAACTTAGCTCATGTTACAGCAGGCAAAAAAAAAAAAAACACTATATCACATCATTTGTATGTCAAAATCCCTCCCTTTTGTGATTTGGGGCGACGAGCTTACCAAGCAAATCAATCAAACCGACACTTGACTGTCAGCTAGTGGGTCGAAATAGCTAGCAGAGCAATATCATGCTGGAGGTGGTGTCAGTTGGCAAAAACTCTTTAGATCAGTGGTTCTCAAACTGTGGGGCGTAGAGCCACTGCCGGTGGGGGTGTGATGACCAGGGGAAAAAAATTGAGTGGAACTAAGTTCAATGAATATGATCCATATAGGGAAAATAAACAAACAACTAGTTTGTTAAAGTCAGATTTTTTAAATTAGTTTTGGTTCCCCTGTCATTGTTAATGAGTGCTAGAAATGGTGGAGCGGAGGGGTTTCTAAAGGGGGGGGCATGCCAGAGAAAGTTTGATAACTACTGGTTCAGATTTCCAAACCAATCATTCCAAACATGATTGAGATCTAATTTATTCATTTTAGTCATCCTCCTGCTCCTGATCTAATGACGTGGTTGAGGGAGGTGTGGATGGACACCAACAGTCCTCTATATCTCTACCATATTGTGGTGTATTCACTAAGCCAGCCAACTTTTGAAATCTGAATGATTTGATTAAATCCCTCTTGTAAGTCTATCCCATCCACATTCCATTTCACTCTGAAATACGGCACATTTACAGAAGTAAACGTCGCTCAAACTGCCTTTTCAGTGTAACTTGAAGGAGTAATGCTGAAAACTCTGTTAGTGCTGCCATATAGTGGCTGTAACTGGCTCTGTGCACAACCAGTGCTGTACAGCTCAATTTGATGATGAATGTGGTCAGAAGGGCAACCTTTCATCCCATTGAGATCAGTGCATCAATGCTTTTCCTCCACAGAGATTTAGTGGTCTTGAACTCTAAGAGTAAGTAAGGAAGCAACTTTAACAAACTCATCTCCTGAATTTAAGAAATGCATTCAAATCTAGACTCACAGATCAGTATCCGTTTATAATATAGCCAAATGATTGTGCATGCTGTGTAACTTGACAACTCTGATTTAGTGTAAAGGTACTCTTTAACTTCATTCATTATTTTCTTTCAAATCTATTCTGCTGGTGTGGAAAGCCACAGAAAAAGTGAGAGAAAAACATGACTGTACTAATACTGACTGCATATTAGAGCTGGACAATATGGCATAAAATCTACATACATTCAGTCAGTTTTACCTTGATAACTATGTGATGTAATAAAATTAGAATATAATAGAAGAGAAAAGAGATCCATTTAGATTACGTTTTTTGTGCTAATTTCTGCTGTGTATACTGCATATTTAGACATATTCAGAGTTTTCCCAATGTGTGAACAGTCTTTGTGTTCTTGGTAGGTTGACTTGGCTCGTCGCACATCTTACTCCATAGAACCCAACGGTTCTCTGCTACTGCAGCCTCTCACTAAAGACCACCAGGGGGTGTGGGAGTGCAGTGCCACCAACCGTGTAGCGTCGGTGAAAGCCAGCACACAAGTCTTTGTCCTGGGTGAGTGCAAACGGAAGGATTTCTATCTGCGAAAACCATAACAAAAGTCATTCTTTTCCTGTTACGTGAGCTGTCCACATTAAAAAAAAGTTTTTTTGGAACTGTCTTTATACCCGTGTAAACCACCAGCACAGGCCTGATGCCTGTGCCTCCAATCCGCCTCCAACGGATAAATGTGGCACATCTAGAGATGGCCTCTAAACTTTAGCAGCTTCAGGTAGAAGTGCTGGCCGTTGTCCATCAACTCCTCTCCATTCCCTCCATTACAGGAACCAGTCCCCATGCGGCTACCTCTCTGTCCGTCTCTCCAGGGGTGAAGCAGGCCAACATATCCTGGGAGGCAGGCTTTGATGGAGGATCAGCACAGACATTTTCAGTTTGGTGGGTGTAAAGCCTCCCACTTTCTTCTTGGGCTGTAACCATGGCAGCCATCGACAGCGCTGGTATTACTCTATTGATCTCTGGGATGAGGAATTCATTTATCTGTTATCACTTCTTGGCAGCTACAATAAAAAACGCAGCTGCAGAGCATAGCTTTAAAATGCTGTGGCCTTGCTAGCTACAATAGGAGGTTACTGACGAAAGAGAGCGTAATAGGTTTGTTTCCTGTGAATGAGCGTTTTAATGTTAGAAATCACAGATGAATATTTTGTGTGTTTTTGATATGGCTGTGATGTGATCAAAATACAGTGATGTACAGTACAGGATAATAGCAGAATAAAAACTGCAACAGTTTGAAATCTCCTTGAAGACATCATGTATCATGTATAATGTATGATTATTAAAAAGTAGGTTATTTTAATTCAATTAAAGTTTTTAAAAGATTCACTAATCAAATAGGAATCTATATTTAGATGGGGGTTTTTATGTCGGAGAGAATGCAAGTGATATACAGACAACTTCTTCTTATGCTCATCTTAATTACATTGTAACCTGGGAGTGCTACATCAGATGAAGCTGAGATGAGTTATCTTAATCCTTGACAGGGAACTGGGTCATCACTGCAGCAAGGAGCAGCATATAAATAAATATAAATTACATCAAAACTATAAAAATAGATTGGTATAAACAACATCCTAATGTCTCAGCTACTCCTTGCTCTGGCAGCCTGACATGTTATGACCATATAGTGAACACACTCTATTGTGAGAAAAACAAAAGATCAATGGTAGGATATAATGTGAATGTTTTCCAGTTGACATTTCAACTGCAATCTTCTTTTTTTGTGTGTCATGAAGGCAGAAAATTCAGGTAGGTCTTGCTATCACTTCCACCGAATGAAATTATAATGATCATGCAGTTATTTGTCAGCTGTCGAAGCTCTCTCGGCAAATATTCACACTGTATGCTTGTAAAAACCAGGTACTGCAGAGGAGGAAAAGCACAGAAAAATCTCATGCATTGCTCTTAGAAAGCAAACTAATCCCTGCCTTATGCACCAAAATGACATACAGTATCTAGTGTGAATGGACACTACACTTAAGTGTGTGAAAGAAAAAGACCTCATGATTATCCAAACCACATTAATGCGAGTGGTGTTCTGCCCTTTCTTATTTTCTCATAAAAGAACATTTCTGTTAAGTCAAAGCTATCATCTTCAAAAACAAAAAAAGGGCAGTATTTTCAGACTGACATTAATCATTTTCAAAAGTTCGGCCCATTTTAAATGGGTGAATAGTTTTTTTTTTTTTAGCCCCGGGTCAAGTAATTTGCTCTGTATAAAATAAGCGTAGGAACCAGTAGGAACATGAAAATCACCATAATTGGAGTTGCAAGCTCTCTGTGCAATTGGAGGGATACATCAGCGCTGTCGCTGCTACAAAATCCGGAGCGGATGATGAGTATGAATGATTAATGAAACCTACTTTTCTGTCATGTTTCATAAAACCAGACTCCCAGAATTCTCCGCTGCTCTTTTGTTCTGACTTCTTTTCTCTCCGTCTTGCTCCCTCTGCAGGGTGAAGAAGATTTCAGCGGGTGATAATGAAGGGAAGCAAGACTGGTTCTCTGTGCCCGTGCCCCCCTCGTCTGGCTTCAGCCTGCAGGTGACAGGCCTGTCCCCTGCCACCGACTACCAGTTCAGCATCCTGTCTCACAATAAAATGGGCACCGGACCCTTCAGCGAGATTGCCACTGCCCGGACATTGGGTCAGTGCCATTCCCCAGTTTCCTCCAAATTAGCTGGTTCCATTTTGGATCCAGATGCAGATTTTTACTCACTGAGCTTTAAATCTAATAACTCCTATGAAATGTTGTATTTATATTCATTCTTTTTGTTTGCAGCGAACAACACGTAAAACTTTCAGCTAGCTAGTTGAAATGGCAAACTCTGCCAGCAGCACATTATATCAATTTTAATTAAAGTTAATTCCCTGCGTCACATGTCCAAAGGCCAAAAGGAAACTTGGCTACTGCGTGGCTGATATGCTAGCTACGACCTGGTGTCTGCACTCAGCCTTAAGAAAGAAACTCCACTCTTTAAAGGTATTTTAGTGATATGACGGATATCTGCAGTCTTCCTGGAATTATCAAATGTTCGCCGGGGGGTGAATGCAACATTTAACTCCCATGTTTTCACTGGGCGTTCTTAGCTGGATGTACAGTACATCATGGTATGTTTAGTCGTCTGCTCTAGCCTATGGCAGACCAGGGCAGTGGATGCCGCAGTCTGTGGAAATGTTGTGAGTTAAATGTTGACTTTACCCTTGGAAACATTTTATCTTTCCTGGCAGAGAGTAAGACATCCTTGAGACATCTAAGAGATCACAAAAATACCTTTGAAGGTTCAACCTGCTGCTGGATAAGAGGTCTAGAATAAAAGATTATTTTTCCCAAGGGTTTGTGTTTGTGGAACAGAGCGATGAACCTTCTCTGGTGAAAAAATCTAGCTGTCAGTTAAGTCGGTACTAAAAATCTCCCAATTAGATGCAATCAATCATCATCAATATTGCAAGCGTATCGTATATCAAGGCTTACTTGTGTGTGAATTGGGATCGCCAGCATTTGGAGAAAGTAGCTTGTGAATAATAGGTGTGTTGGGGGGCTACACCTGTCGTTTCAATGTAACAGTGGGGATGTTTAAATGTCTTGCTACTATTATTGTGTCCAAAACTGTCACAGTATTACACACAGTATTATGACAGTTTGACTCAAATATTAGTGAATATGCCTCAAACAGTATATTGCAGTTTATTTGGGAATACAAAGAACTAACATCAGCCCCAACCCTACTCCCCTCACACTCTCAAGGTTGAACATCTGTGGCGGTAGCAATTTCCTGCCCTGTAATTTAATTTTTCCACCAGAACGTATCTGGCTCATCGACTGAAGGTCTTTCTTCCCTCCCTCTGAATCAGATCCTCCACTGAGGAGAAGTAAACTGAAGCCCCCGGTGTCGCTGTCGGCTAATCAGGGCTCAGCAGGTGTTGTTCTGCAATGGTCTGTTCCTGAAGCTCAGCACCCTCCCATCACAGGCTTCGTCCTCCAATCCCGCACCGAGCAAGGGGAGTGGTTTAATTTGGAGGAGGACATCAGTGCCAACAGTAGCGAGATAGTCGTTCCGGGTCTGCACAAGGTAACAAGCCAGTCGCGCTGCTCCCTTTGAGACTAATCAGTCCACGCTGCTTGTTGAATGCCTTAGAGATTTTTATCTAGGCTACACTTCCATGCAGTACACTACATGGCAGCCATCACTTTTCTGTCATCTTTCAATCTGTGTGCCCTGTCTTTGCTCCCCTTATGCCTGTTTTCATCCCTCTTTTTCTCTCTTATATAGGCCTACACAAATTCAAATGAACGTCATTAGCATTGCAGGCACAGTCCCGTGTTGACAAAGTGTGGTTTCATCCTCTGTCCTCCCCACTGTGTGTGTGTGTGTGTGTGTGTGTTGTGTGTGTTGTGTGTGTTGTGT